CGTTGCTCTTCAATGTTGGTGATTACCTCGCCTTCCTTGCTTTTCACTGGTCGTTCAGGTTTGCGGCGATTTCCAGAGAGTTTCTTTGTTATGTCATACAGTTTTCTCATGTTTCCTTCTCTTGCAGCCTTTTCCGCCGTTTTTGCTAGATCTTCCACATATTTATGTTTGTCGGTTCTGATACTCCTCTTCAATTGTTTGTTTACTTCTGTGTATTCAGCTTGTGCCTTGGCTTTTTCTGCTCTTGTTCGGCTGGTATTGATTGCTGCTTTCTTGTTCCTCCTTTCTTAAATCTTATCCAGTGTATCAACAGTGATCCATTCCTTGTGATGGTGCTTCTTGTGACCCAGGACCTCATGGCATGTTGAAGTGATTGCCTCTTTGATCCCTTTCCAGTTGCTCTCCATAGTAGTTCCTTCTCCATTGAGTAGATCATGAAAGGCCTGGAACTTGTTGCTGAGGACTATCTTGAATTTGTTGAGTTTGTTAGTATCCTGAAGAAAGGCCGTATTGAACTTTTGTGATATTGTTCGCCTAATTGTCCAGTGCTTCTTGAGTTTCAATTTCATCTTGGCGACCAGCAAGTGATGATCTGAGGCTATATCAGCTCCTCTTGGTTCTCACGTCCTCCTGAACGTTTTGTTGATGCAAATATGTTCGATTTGGATTTGCGTGGTGTGATCCGGTGAAGTCCATGTGGTTTTGTGAATGCGTTTGTATGGGAATATGGTGCCGCCTATGACCAGTTTATTGAAGGCATATAGGTTTGCAAATCTCTCACCATTTTCGTTCCTTTCTCCCAGTCCTTGTCTCCCCATGATGTCTTCATATCCAGTGTTTTCCGTTCTAACCTTGGCATTGAAATCTCCCATCAGAATGGTCAGGTCCTTTGTTGGGTACTTCTCGATGATTGACCACAGCCTATCGTAGAATTGATCCTTAGGGTCTTCATTGTAGTCGTTGGTAGGCGCATAGCATTGGATGATATTCATCGTAATGCCCTCCTTTTTTGTTTTGAATGAGGCTTTGATGATCCTTGGTCCATGAGATTCCCATCCTATAAGTGCATTTTGTGCTTGTTTGGACAGCATCGATGCAACTCCTTTTGTATGTGGGGCATTTTCTTCTTCATGGCCGGAGTATAACAGAAGCTCTCCTGAAGTTAGTCGTTGTTGTCCAACTTGCGTCCAATGTGTTTCACTGATCCCAAGTACCTCTAGGTTGTATCTTCTCATTTCTGCAGCAATTTGGAAGGCTCTCCCGGTGTCCCACATTTTACGAACATTCCATGTACCTAAATAAATGGTCGCTCTGGTTGTCAGAAGGCACATCGGCCTCGTAACTTCCGAAGGGATTCGGCTTTCATCATGAGGCGTCATAGTTCTAAATGAAAACCTTTTGACTCCGGGGGCAGAGTTTAAAAAATTTGAAATTTTTTTTCTGGTTAGCGTTTTTTTAGCGAGTTAGTTTTCTACGGGATGGGGACGCTAACCTCATGCCCAACCCTCCTCCTTTATCCGGGCTTGGGACCGGCAGTAGCATTCGAAGGGACTCAAAGCGGAGTTATGATTTATGTGTTAGACTGTCATTATTAACTGTACTCTTGGTGATCACTTAGTTGTTACCTTCAGTCGGGGTGTATGTACATGACTTTGAGCCATATGGTTTTGGTGTGAAAACTAATGATAGTCTCACTGAAATCATGAACCGATCTAAGTTAGATCACGACTGAAAACTCATACTGACTAATGATAGTATATGGCTGTCTAAACCAGAAAAGATTAAGTTGAGGGTTGGGGGCTAAATCAACTGATTCAAAAATTATTTGATTATTGGAACACTTATTTCTCAGCGTACTTACTTAATATGACCTCTAACAATTTCATACGGTTTTGTTTCAAGATAACTTGGTTTATTTTGAATTCCCTCTTCTTTTTTTATCTTAAAGGGTGAGAATGAACTTCTTCAACTCAATTTAATTATTCAACTTTGTGGTTCTATCACACCGGAGGTTTGGCCAGCTGTCCAGAATTTAGAAACTTATCAAAAAATAAAGTTACCTAAAGATGTTAAACGTCATGTCAAAGAAAAATTGACGCCACAAATTCCATGTCCATCAGCTGTTGACTTAATTGACAAATTACTAGTATTAGATCCAAATAAACGTCTGGATGCCGATCAGGCTTTATCACATGATTTTTTCCATGAAGATCCACCTCCTGGTGATTTAAGCTGCCTTTCAAAGAATGGTGCTTCATTTTTAGAGTATTTAGGACAAGCTAACAGAGCTAGACGTGGATTAGCAAATAATTACCGTAATGTTGCTAATCCTAATTTCCCAGCTAGGCGGGGTCCAAATGTTATGGTCCCCGGACCTGTGTCAAATCAACAAATTATTAACCAACCATATCAACGTTACCGCGGTCTTCCACCGGATCAAGATTCATCTAACATTAATGATCGTATATTTTAATCAGTGTGAAGGGTTCAATGTTATCGAAAAAAGTTGTCCTTATTGTATAATTTCGTGTATATTGCATTTTTACAAACAAAAGTAATTGAATTAGCCTGCAGAAGCAGTAGAATATTGTGATAACTACAAAAATAATAATAATAACAGCAACATATACAGAGTTTATTTCAGTCTTTAAGATTTGTATTTTTCTAGTCTCATTACAATTATAGTGTGAATATTTGTTATGCTTGAATGATATGATGACGACCATGATGATTGCATTTTTCTCTCTGTTTCTGTAATTTGATATTTATTGGTCTACCTAAGAAATTTCTTTTTTCCCATGTCATTTAGTTTTCAATTATCAGGATGAAAGAAACATCTCAAATATAAATAACACTAAAGTGTGCATTGTAAATTTGAACGTCTTAACAGGGGCCACAAATGCCCTGGTACGGCCGAGAGTGGGGAAAGTCCGCTTTCCCTCTGGAAATGCTCTCACATGGCCACGCGTATACAGCCTCTGCCAGGCAAGTCCTACTCACTGCCTACTCGTGGCTGGGGTGTTGATTACGAAAATGAGCGGACGCAAGGCGGATATCCGGCGCTTTAACCGGATTCCAAACCAATGGTGCATATGGGCTCCAGTATCCTGAGGGAACAAATGGCGTACGAACCAATCGTCGATACTCCACTGCCTTGTGGATCAGACCTTTAGGTCGAAGGCTTGGGGTGTGGCTTTCTGAGAAAACCACCTGCTTCGGTTTGGGCACCCGGGCAGTACCACACCCCTCACAAATATCGAATGAGATTTGTGTAGCGCATATGCATTTGGTGCCTCCTTGTACCAAAATCTATGTGTTAAAATAAATAATGTGGGGTTTAGGATAAGTTTCATCAGTTGAATTTGTCACAACACAATAAGACAAATCTAAACTAAAGCATTAAACATACAGAATAAGGGTTTACCCTTATTCTTTAGATTAAGTAAAATTGAAGAGAGAAAAGTGTTAGATACTTTTGAAAGTAAAAAACTTATTGAGAGATAAAGAATGAAGTATCTCCGAAAATTGTGACTGATTCCGAATAATTCTACTCAAATCGATTCGTTATTCACATGAAAACGCGATAAACATTTAAAGCAAAATTCTCCTGATTTCAACTAATACTTTGTCCATGGTTAAAACGTCACGTAGAAATTGATCAGTTATGTATTAGAGAATGATTGTAAGATTAAGTAAACTTTACTTCCAAGTTTTGAGCTCTTTCACTTTAGCCATTATGCAGCAACTCGAACAACTTTTTAGCATATACATCTTGGGTAACATTTATGTAATTCAATCTAATGGTGATAAACACAGACTGTGGGATTATCTACTATCAGTTTTCTGAAATCATCATGTACGACTTAAACCAGGCTGTCTCCAGGATCTGTCACGAATTTCTACCGTCATATTGAACATGATTTTGATCGTTGTTTGATATCACCTGGTAAACGTTTTGGAATCTAAGTATCTATTTCTTCCCGGTACATAGTTCTTAAACAGCTATCCCGATAGTTTACCGTCCATTAATCGTTTAGTATGCCGTGCGACTGTTTACTGTTGTAGTCTAGACCTATATAAAACAATTTGTTAAAGGCTGAAATAGTGCGTAAACTGAAGGTACTTCATCATATATTTGTAATGAACACTATTTGTATGGTGTAGCTTTCCGGTGAGCGACATCACATTAATGAACTCGTTCATACCATCTGAGATTGAGGTTAACCCTACCTGTTTTGTATTATCTTTGTTAACTTCTATCATAGTAATATTTATACCGTTCATCTGTTGTAAATTTATTCAGTCATAACAACAAAGTAACCGGAAACTGTCGGCGTTTATATTTTTTTCCAATTCAACCATTAGGTTAGGTTTCATAAAGGACGATATTTATTTAACAAAAGAATTTCATGATTGATAAATTACATCTCACTAGTTAGTTTCCTTGTACGTAATTGCTATAATCATCCATCTATTAGTAAGCCCCAAATGCCTTGGTATGGCCGAGAGTGGGATGGGCCCGCCTTCCCTCTCGAAATGCTCTCACAGCCACGCGTATATAGCCTCTGCCAGGGAAGTCCCACTCACTGCCTACTCGTGGCTGAGGTGTTGTTTACGAAATTGAGTGGACGAAAAGCAAATGTCCGGCGCTTCAACCGGATTCCAAACCAATGGTGCACATGGGTTCCAGTATCCTGAGGGAACAAATGGCGTATGAACCAATTGTTGGTCACCGGCTACCATGGGACTGCATCTCCTTACGATGCTCCACTGCCTTGTGGGTCAGACCTTTAGGTCAAAGGCTTGGGGAGCGGCCCCCTCAGAAAGTCACCTGCTTCAATCTAGGCACTAGGGCAGTATCACAGCCCACACACACACACAAATATAGTGTGGCGCATATATATTTGGTGCCCTCTTGTACTAATATCTATGTGTTTGAATAATAATAAGCAAGCACAGTGTTTCGCTATCCATCTTTCATATGAAAATAAACGGTAGTTTGAAAACGAATTGGATCATTGTATTCCATAAAAAATAATCTATTAACAAATAAACATCCCAATATTGATTTTATTTCCTTGAGTATAAAGCAATATGGGATTGAGTAAAAATCTACATTATAGTTCACTCTTTACAGTAGTATTCGTTGTATTCATCATTGATCATATTATTTATATAATAATATATTATTCAATTCATATAAATAATAATGCACAATATAAAGATCAAAAAGAAATACTTATGAAGGATAACAAGAATTGGAAAAATATATACTCATTGTTCACATCATAGTTTCCATGTATTATTACATCAAATAGTAGAATCTTTTGATTGATCATTTTCTACCGATGGAATTTTTCTATTGATTGCTTGTAAACGAGGTAGTTTCATGTCTAAAATTTCTGTTTTTTCAATGTATGTAGAAGAAACTTGATTAAGTTCCTGAAAATTTACAAACGTAAACACAATAGATAGATGTAATAACAGAAATTGGAATCTAAGTATAGAGAGAAGTATGTTCGGTAAGTTTCATTAGGCTTTATACAATGACGAGTAGAAATACTTAATCAGGACATGTGAGTTGTTGTAATTCATAGAATTTGATAATATATATTTGTCAGAATGGGTTTTGTTGAGATTTTTAGAAATTTCACTGGTTGAAATCATGAGTCAATTGAAGCTAGAACACCATGGAAAACCATGATTTCAACCAGTGAAATTTCTAAAAAATCTCCACAAAACCCATTCTGATAATAATAATCACCTGCTCACTAGTGACTGACTTCAGGAGACACTCCTGGAGTTCTACGAAGAATTCGTTACCAGTGGAGTTCAACCAGGTCTGATGTGAGATAGGAACTCACTGAAGACAATGGTGTACGGTGGCGCAACTTCGTGGATTGGTTGAAGTTAGACATTAACACCATCGGATTTCGGCCGGCTCAGTGGTCTAATGGTTAAGTGCTCGTGCGCGAAACCAGTAGGTCCTGCGTTCAAACCTCGCGGGGTGCGGGATCGTGGATGAGCACTACTGAAGAGTCCCATACTAGGACGAAATGGCCGTCCAATACTTCCAGCTTTCCCACGGTGGTCTAGATCCAACTGATTCATGATCTTAATCATTGAAATATATATTTGGATTAAAGAATGACAATAATGATAATAAAGTTACACAATCATTACATATAGTTTGTTAGGAATTTAAAATCTGCTTGGAATCAATTTTTTGTTTGGATTCTAAAGTTAATGTTTTATTCAACAACTGTATCAGTAATATCATATTAAAACTTACCTGATCATTTGCTGTTTGTGGAGGAAGCCAATTTGGAAAATGTCTGTAGAATGAACATGCTTGCCAAGCCAATAAACGTGGACTAACCTGTGATCGACTATTAAATCCTGGTATGATAAATATTAAAAAGTATGATTGTATAAAATAAAATTTAATATGGTTAGTCAGTTGTTTGTGAGAGAATGAAGATATTCCGAAAAATATGTGATTGTATTTGTGCAGTACATTTCATACATATTTATGATGCTAAATGGTCGGAAACACTTGGGATACAAACCTGGATCTAAGTTTCATGCTAATTAGCGTTTGTCGACAAGGCGTATCCGCGGTCTTGAAGAGACTTGCTTCCTGTAGAGTTAAAACCGGTGTCACAGTCTGAATCGTTAGCAGTGAGCTCTTTGGACAGTGAGTAACTTCTTATATGATCAAGATATATACATTGATAGATCACTATGTAGTGACTAAGGCCAAATTTGTTCAATGATCCAATCCTATTGATTACCAACTACTTACAATCAAAAGCATAATGTTCGCGATTTCAAGTCATTTAGACTGTTGGGTACATTGTACCTTGATCTATTGAATTAGATTAGAACCAAGGAATAAAGAAATGTGACTTCAGTCACTGTTCGCTGATCAATTCATCAACTTTAATTATTCCTCACAAAAAATTCAGTTTTACCACACTACATGACATGAATAGCTAGCGAGTTCATTTGACACATGATACACTGTTAACTACTTTACAATATTTTGATAAAATAATTAACAAGGATATATGTTCAACTAACAGTATAAAAAAATCACCTTAGTCTAGATAGGGTAAATTCAACAGTCAAGTTAAGAAGATTATGGATACGTATCTTTTAAACGAACTAAACGTATCCAAGATCGGACGATTTGAAACAAGCAGAACTCGTTTACATATTCAACCAGTATATTAAACAAATATAACAAGTTCAGAAAAATGATTCTATTACAATAGGATACCGATTATACAACAAACTATTCTGAATTGTCTACAACAAAATATTTCAGAGATTGAAATCATGGGTCAGTTGAAGCTAGACCACCATTGAAAACCTGGAAGCACTGGACGGCCGTTTCATCCTAGTATGGGACTCCTCAGCAGTGCGCATCCACGATCCCGCTCCACGCGGAGCTCGAACCCAGGACCTACTGGCTTCGCGCGCGAGCACTTAATCACTAGACCACTGAGCCGGCATCCAACGGTGTTAATGTCTAACTTCAACCAATCCACGAAGTTACGCCACCGTACACCATTGTCTCCAGTGAGCTGATATCTCACAACTCCACTGGTAACGGCTTCTCACTAGAACTCCAGAAGTATCTCTTGAAGTCAGTCACTAGTGAGCAGATGATTATTATCAGAAAGGGTTTGTGGAGATTTTAGCTTCAATCGACTCATGATTTCAATCTGTGAAATTTTTAAAATCTCTACAAACCCCTTCTGATAATAAAATATTTATTTGTATTAATATTTCTTAATAAAATAATATTTTGTCATATCAACATTATGAATATTTTAAAAAATAATAGTTTACCTGTAATTGCGCTAATTATGAATCCTACAGGAATTCCAACAATTAAACAAGCTGCTGCATAATAAAGATATGAAAGTGAGTAAAATGACCACGTTGTCGTCTCTATAATATTAACAGTAGTAGTTGATGTATTAGTTGTAGCAGCTACAATAGATGATGATATATTCTGAAGAAATTTAGATGAACAATTTTCAGTTGTTAAAGGTAAACGACCACTAACAGTTCTTGAAGTTATAAAAGTATTTCCAATGCAAATCCATAAACCACAGATAACACCACTAATTAATGCACACAATCCACCCTGAACATATGAATCGACATGAAAAAAAAATAATAAGTAAACGGTAATGTACAAGTGTGATTCATTTATCAATATTAAACATTAAAAACATTAACAAAATTTGCCAAAATGACTTGTTTTATTAATTTCCTTTAAACATAAACAGTACTATCAGAATGGGTTTTGTGAAAAAATTGTTACCAGTGGAGTTCAACTTGGTCTGTTGTGAGATATCAGCTCACTGAAGACAATGGTCTACGGTGGCGTAACTTCGTGGATTGGTTGGAGTTAGACATTAACACCATTGGATGCCGGGCAGCTCAGTGGTCTAGTTATTTAAGCGCCTGGCGCGAGACTGATATGTCCAGGGTTCGAATGTCTCGGGAGGCGGGATAGTCGATGCGCACTGCTGAGGAGTCCAATACTGGGACGAAACGGCCGTCCAGTGCTTCCAGGTTTTCCATGGTGATCTAGCCTCAATTGACTCATGAGTTCAACCAGATAAACAGTACTACCATAAATTTCGTAACGATGAAACTAAAATTTATATAGGAAGTATTTTCAACGAATCCTCAGTCATATAGTATAAGACCATATTAATTTTGGTTCACTCATTAAAATACACGTATGGATTAGTGTTTAGTAATGAAAAATTTATGCATAACACTGAAATCAAGATTTAGCAGAAGAGAATGAACGAATGTAGCAGTTGTATTACAACTGGTTTCGGACCATGTCACTTAACGTCATCAATCATAGATTCTCACTATCCCATGGAACCGAATCAGAATATCTACAGTATCTGGTTAGGGATAACAGATAAAGACCAGTGTCTATGGGGAGACAGAAAGTGAATGCATTCGGATCATCGTAAACGATTCTCAACAACGTCACCCGAAATCTCTGGTCATTAGTTACACCAACCAAGTAATGTACATCTAACTAAATGACTCAATCCAACACTTAGTAACTTGATGAGGTGATGTTATGTTTTCGTTTGGCTTCTCCTAGCTTCCTCCTAACTTACTCCAATACCAGCCGTCATTTATATCTTATTTTTTTCTACTAAAATTGATGCTGTTGCACAACTTCTACCACTATGACTTATATTTTAATATTTTTATTGCATTATGTTTACAAAGTGTGGCAACTAAAACCGGTGTCGATTTGTCCCCGTTTTTTAATTTCCTTATGACTGTCTAACTAAAAATATCATCAAATATATAATATTTTTTTATTAACACTAATGATATACTTACTTACTTCAGCATTAATGCATGGAAAAAATATTCCAGCAGTAAATACAGTTAAAACTGGACCACCAATTGCACCGAATAAAGAAAATGATATTTGTAAAATATGTGAACTGGATAATGTAAAAATGAAAGCCAACGATACAGTTAAAGTACCAAATAAAATACCTGCACACCAAGAAGAGAAAAATAAAGAGAAAGAGAGAGAGAGGATGTGTGTAACGACCATACAGGATAACAAGTAAAACTTATTCCTATGAAAAACACGAATGGAAAATGATGAGATGTTATGAATTGAAACAAAATACTTAGGTTATTCTTCATATATTTATAAACTAATGAAGATTATTTAATAAATTCATTTCATTCAAGACATTTGTCTCAAATTAGTGATATAAAATAATTCCAATGGTTAAGATCATGAGCCAATTGAAGCTAGACCACCATAGAAAACCTGAAAGCACTGAACGACCGTTTCGACCTCCTGCGGGACTCCTCAACAGTGCGCATCTACGATCCCGCTTAGCGAGATTCGAACCCAGGATCTATCAGTCTCGCACACAAGCGCTTAATCACTAGACCACTGAGCCGGCCGAAATCCAACAGTGTTAATGTCTAACTTCAACTAATCCACGAAATCGAGCGACACATCCACCATTGTCTTTAGTGAGTTGCTCTCTCACAACAGACCGGCCGGCTCACTGGTCTAGTGATTAAGCGCTTGTGTGTGAGACTGATAGATCCTGGGTTCGAATCTCGCTAAGCGGGATCGTAGATGCGCACTGTTGAGGAGTCCCGCAGGAGGTCGAAACGGTCGTTCAGTGCTTACAGGTTTTCTATGGTGGTCTAGCTTCAATTGGCTCATGATCTTCACTATTAAAATCTTAACAACTGTTAAATAGATAATTCAAACAAATAGTATTAATTTATGACCTTTTCTATTTTATCTAAACTTTTAAAATGTCAAAGAATCACCAGAAACATGACATTTCAACTAGCCTGTAATCGGGTGATTATAAATGAAATAAATTCAGCTTACTAATTCATAAAGAAAAGTTCGAAAGGTTAAACAACAAATGAAACGATGAATAAGAATTTGAAAACAAAAGATAAAAAATGGCATGTGATGATGATCCATGAATAAACACAGTGATCAAGATCAACCAGATTTATTAGTGATTATGGGATACGTTTTCTACAAAAGCTTACTGTCAATTTAATTAGACAATGATGTTATGTATTTTTTTTAAAAAACTTATCATTAAATCATTATAGTTCATAGACCTTAACATTGTCAAAAGTAATAAATTCTTATGATAGCAGAATCATTGCATAAGATCATTAGTATACTTCAATAAGAATATATATATCAATGACGATCTATTTTGCACATTCCTAAGTAATTGACAAACTTCAAAAGTTGTTAAATTACATTTGAAGGAATGGAAGGAAATTAAATGACATAACTGATAGAGAAAAAAAACTTTTCATTCGTTTTCATTTAAATTATTAATTTGTGTTGTAGTAAAAATTCACACTTGGACGTTTAGTAAAAAGAACGAATCGAGCTCAGTAACCTAGAGGTTAAACGTTCGAGCGCGAAACCGAAGGTCCTGTGTTGAATCCCAGGTACTGGATCGTGGATGTGTGCTGCTGAGTGGTCACATACTAAAACTAAGCGGCCATCCAGTGCTTTCAGGTTTTCAATAGTGGTCTTATATTGATCAGCTCATGGTCACAATCAAAACTCAATAATCTCCACAATTCTATACTGATAATTGTCATGGGCTCACTAGTGACTGGTTTTGGGAGGCAATTCTCAGAATTCCAGTGAGAAGTTGTGACCAGTGGAGTTCAACCGTGTCGGGTGTGATGCGTTTACCCACCGGAGACGATGGAAGATGGTTGTGAAATATCGTGGATTGGTTGGAGTTTGATATTAACATCATTGGATGCCGGCTCAGTGGTCTAGAGGTTAAGCGTTCGCACGCGAGATCTAAGGTTCTGGGTACGAATAATTGTTGGACCGGCAGTGAGAATTTGTCGTGCATCTAAGAATCAACCTTTTTATCGCAGATAGGAGAATTAAGGTTTTTTTACGCCACTCTAATCGTTTGCTGCAAACATTAATTCCCGTATCCACAATAAAATAATTGAGTCTTGAATACACAATGAATTTTCACAACTGATTCGACAATGAATACTATATACAATTGGATGTTGTAGTCATTGGGACCGCTACTGACAGACATTTTTCTTGAAAAACTGGAAAGTGGACCATTTAAAGACACAATTAGTCGTCTATACATAGATGATACTTTTATAGTATTAGAAAAATAACATGAAAAGGATAATTTACTCAAAATATTTAATGACACTCATCTATTACTTTTGCATTTGAGGAAGATAAGAGTAATAGCATAGTGTTTCTAGATGTCCAACTAACAAGAAGATTAAATGAAGTATTTAAGAGAGAGATACATATAAAGTCTACAGTTGGACAATATAGTGCTGTACCAATCAGATGCAAAAGAAACTTAGTAAAGATCCCGACTCATCGATTTAGAATGATTTGGTCTGATGACACCATTGTAGATGAATTGAGTAATATACTTAACCCGCTTAGTAGGAATAAACATCCAGCGAAACCCATTAATAAATATGAAAGAAGTCCAAATATATCATTTCGGAGAAAGTACTGTTCCTAAAATTACAACTCCTAAGTGATGCTATTGAAGAAATTGTTACTCAAAGGTTAAGAAAGGAGGTACAGAAAGCATTTACTGTAACCCAGTTTGACTACAATTGGACTTACATGATCTATCTGGTAAACAAACAAATCAAACGGTCTGTATATACAGTGACAGTTTTTCACGCGTTTCTGATCTATTATTTGGTCATTACATAAGATCATCCTAAATTATGTACAAGAAGGTTTCTATGACCTTAGCTGTTGAATTTAATAAAGATTTTTTAAAATGAGACCTAAAACAAAATATAACTAACAAGGATTAAAAATCAGCATTAACCTATCAATTCAAGTACAATGATAACAATTAATTGCTTTAAACGTTTTTCCTTTAGTAGTCGACCGTTTTGTGAAATCATACAAATTGATGACTTTTCTAACTTCAACCAATCCATTAACACCGTTGGATCCCGGCTCAGTGGTCTATTTGGTTAAGAGCCTGGCGCGAGACTGATAGGTCTTGGGTTCGAATCATGCGGGCAGCGGGATCGTGGACGCGCACTGCTGAACATAATATTACATAAAAAAATATCGATTTAATAACTGAACACAGTATGAAAAAAAACTTATAATCGATCGATTAGACTATGAACAGAAATGATCACAATTTGTATACAAGTGAAATATAAATTCAGTGATCAAAAGAATTTCACCTCATAGAAGAGAGTTTTTTAAATAACTCGATTTAAGAAATGAAATCTAATAAATAAAATTTAACAAGCAAAAACGTCTTTGGAAACATAAACATACCTAAAAATATGGCCAATCGATATTTAGCACTTTCTGAAATATCAACATGTCTCCAATGAATATACAATGGTCGGATTAAATCTTCTAAGCAAACATTAGCCAAACTATTTACACCTGATGATACAGTACTATGTAATGAATGTTTACAAAATAAAAGAAACAATTTTAGCATTCATTTAAGTAGAATTGTAGATATTCAATCACTCTGAATCGTATTTACTGAGAAATCTTACTATGAGAATAATATTGTCGTGCGTGCTACCTATATTGATGTAGGTAGTATATGACGCGAGTTAAAAACGTAATATCTGGCAGCAGAAGATGGGAGAAGATCAAGAAAGGAAGAGCTGGAACACAATGCAATTTGCAAGAAAACGCATAAACAATGAAATATGAGACAATGGATTAATGATTGCAACAGGAACAGTCCGTTTTGATATGATGGATTGATATTTTGCAAATTAACGATTTACTATATGGTTTTTTTCTATTTTACCAAGTAACTTTGTAATTTTGTGCTAAATACAGTTCGATTGTCCCCACCCGTGTTCTTGTTCACTACAATATATCACTATTTCTGTGAACGATAAAGAATAAATGTAACTTAAGTTGAGGATATAAAGATTGAGTTCTCTGAAGGTCATAACTTAATTATGAAGCTTTCATGGTTTCATTACTGAACAACAAACATCATCAACAAATAGTTCAGAATATAATGATTTACAGTTATGAATAAGAATTAATTAAAGTATATATTAACAAAAGAAGTTGTTAATAACTTTTTGAAGAAATCCTACTTGAGCATTTTTCTAACATTTGAGAGTTTTACGATTGAATTATTATTTTGGATAAAGTAGGCATCGAACGACCTATATACCTAGCTCTACAAGAGCAGGTAAATTGGTAAATGCACATTGAGTTGGTCAGATGCGAATTATTGAGCCGTTGCCTCATCTTTTTAGCCACGCCGGATAATGTTCTTGAATTCTTTTGGATAAAGTACGCATCGAAGTATTATTCATAAGCAAAGTAACATCTCTAATAACTTAATTTCTGAGAATAAATATCAACTAAATTCATGAAACGTAATGTATTGTTTTAATGGCAATCAAAGTGGTTAGTTCATTAATAGAAGAGATTGGTGAAGAAACTCAGGCGGATTGATGTTAATATTAACTTACAAACTACGTTTGCCAGAGGTTTAATCTCCTGATGAAGTTAGTACAAATCAAAACTTTATAATTCAGAATGTTCTTGTAAAACCACGATTCGATAGTAAAAAGGGTAAGTCTACAATATTAAGGCATCACCGTCAGCAACAGCTGTCCTTGGAGCAAGTTGAGATATGATAATTTTAAAGTTTACTGATGGAGATACTGGTTGTGAGTAGAACAATGTAGTGCCAGCACAATTTAATGAAATAGGCAATATGATTTCGTTGTATTTCGTGCAGCCACTCTCCAGCCTACTTCTCTGGAATGGTAGGTTCTAAGTGTGCAAGTGATTTGCTCAATACAGCTTCTGCCGTCCTACAACCATCTTATACCAAAACATAGTGTATCCCATGTAGAGTGACTAATGCTAGTTGTTTGAATGGAACTCGACAGACAGATGTCTATCAGTACTGATAACCAGACAAAAATAAAAGTGGTTACCACTTAGTGATATATATATATACTTTTCAGTCAAAAATGAAATAGTTTCCAATCAATTTATTAGTCAGTTTAAACCTATAGGCCTCCTAAATGATTGATTAACAACTTCATGCTAGATGTAATCAATATATATAATAGTTGTCATTAAACATCGTTATAGTATTAAATAAAGCCGATAATAGTAATAATAATAATAATAATAATAATAATAATAATAATAATAGTATCAGCTCAAAAATCACGTAAAAGGTTGCTGTTACGTGAATTTAGTGTATAAACAAGAAATCAATAAAATTTAGGTCCAGTCAGGCTAAAAAAAATATCAGCTTAAAAGTAATATTTTTTTTATAAATTCTTTTAAATAAACTAAAATATTCAGTTCACTTAGGGTTGTTCTCACTTGTATCTTCTCATTGTTATTTAAGACTGCAATTGATCAGTTTCATGTTGATATATGTGCATCCAGTTGCAAATTGCCTCGATATTTTCTTAAGTCACAAGCTTTTTAAGTAAAGATGGATAATGGTTAGCAGTGGAATTCAAGACGCGCTTTCCGAGTGAACATCAAATCTGAAGTGCAGGTACATCCAGTTAACGAGTCTTAAATTGGAAAAAACGCGCGTCCTTGGATTCCAATACTCATCCAATGTCCATCTTTGCTTAAAAACCAAAATATAGTTCGTAAAAGCAAAACGTTAGATCTTTTACATAAGGTACATGAAAAGACATAACAGATCTGGTTAAAATTATTCAGATAAGTTTACTGATATCTAAAAATCTTATGAGAAGTAGATGTTTTTTAAAAAGAGAATCATTTTTTACAATTCTGAAGTATCATTATTATTACTAAGTAGAAACTATCATCTTGAGTATGATGACAATTAAAATTCTTATAGAATAGAACTCAGTCTATAAATAAAAACTGGCAACATGTCACAGAAACATAAAAAATATTTTCTTATGAATAAAAAAATTTATCGATTTTTTAATCGATTTATGTGAACCAATAATTCACATAATCCTCATAGAATATTTTTAAAAAATGAAGAATATTTGATCGAATCATTGTTTTTGTTATAATAACTGTATTGTTATCAGTCTCTACAGTCTGTAAGTCCTTAATTATTGTGAGATGGTGGAGAAGATTTGTAGCTCAGGTGGATGATTTTGGTGGAGTTTTGTTCTTTGAGCTGGATGTCGTTCAGAAGAACGAGGAATGCTCCACGATCAAACCATCCAGCTCAAGGAACAAAACTCCACCTTAATTATTGTGATATTTTACAAAGGATGAAATGAAGCAAGTATTCATGAATTCAACAAAGTTATTTATTAAAAAATAGTGAGCATTTACATCTGTTACTACATAGATTACTTCGAAATGGTGTTATTTTTAAATTAGAAAAGTCATTAAATAGAAAGGTTAGAAATGATTTAAAGTAAAGTATCAAGTCACTGTTAAGTCTTGTTGATTGGACGCTATATTCGCTCCTAAGCTATTCTGATAACCTGCACGCTAGAAGTATACGGCGACATGAACACCAGAAAGAAGACGCAAAGTATGAGAGAGACACTTTACTCCAAGGTTCGTTTTTGTACAGAAAACATGGTTATTTCTAGATTTTAACGTTTGTTAGATCAACATCATATTTTGGCCAATCCGTTAACTACATATTATGCTACTGACCAATAGTAGAACGCCACGTTGGAATTCTAGAATGCTCCACCATGCTCTGATTGGCTAGGACTCTTGGGCTCCTCTAGGGCCTCTGGAGGCTACGTTGAAGTTCTCCGAAAGCCGACTTAACAGTCAAAATCAGTATGATAGTAATATAGTAAAAATGAAAATGAGAAAAAACAATGATGTGATTAAAGTATATAGTAGGAGAATTTCGTCATATTAATCGAGGTAATAATAATATCGTTGTATGAATATCATAAATATGTCAATAATAAGAGAGGTCTTATTAAGGTAATTACGATTTTTCAAAAATAGAATTCATGTAAATTGAGAAAGATGAACGTGAAGATTAAGAAAGATGTAAACGAAAGAAATTTAGGGGGAAGGGCTGTAGGAGGTTTATAATATTCAGTTTAGTTATCTTGTGATCACAATAATTATGGACTTATAACTGTAGAGTCTGATGATGAAGTTATTAAAAACAATTGTTCGCTTAAATATTCCACATTTTCCAAAATTGACATAAGTTAGATTTTCTTTTACGTACAAATAGCATATTACTTGACGTCAGTTAATGAAGCGATGATATTTAGACGTTGTGAATGGTTCATTAAAATTAAATCGAAAACTTAACATATTCAACAATGTTTTCAAGACCAGAATATAGTTGAATGATTTTGTTCTGATAGTCGATAAAACATTTAGGTGGTTGAAGGTAATCTGCAGATTTTGTGCTAATTTAAACCCGTTAGCAAAATGTATCTACAATCTTGAAGAAATTGATGCTCCTTGTGTGACTCGAACTCGCATCCATTGGCTTCCAACTATTAAACTTTACCACTAAGATATTCAGGCGCTGATTGACATAACATAACACTATATTTTCATGGTGACGGTAATAAACTAGATCAAAAACTCAATTTATACAGATGTTTAAAATTAATTTAAATGTCAATCACGTATCTAGTCTACTGGTTGAAAAATAATGGAGACTATCCACTGAATCACCACCACATTCTCAAATAATTCCATGATGTAAATACATATTGAGAGTTCTGAGTAAAATAATGAACTGAACAGAGTAATGAAAGTGATTACATTATCAAATCAAACCAGCGAATTCTTTTCACTGTAATGACACACAAACAAATGACATTTGAGATGAAAATTAGTTGTTTATATTCGTACAAAATGAATGATAAACAAGGTCTAAGAAGTTGTTTCGATAAGATTTACAGTTTCTGTTAAATGGGGTTATTCATCATTACTTTACTGCTGCACGGTCAACTGGTTAAAACAAGATGCAATAATTAAAATAGAGACAAACTACTGAGTTAGAAAATCACCAAAGATGTAGAAAATAAAAGTAGGTTAAATTCAGAAAATGAATCGACTTAAGAAATAGAAGATATTCTAAGCAAAGATGGATAGTGGCTATCAGTGCAATCTAGGACGCACGTTTCGTCCTATTTAGGACTCATTAGCTGGATGTACCTGCATCACTCCGGGACTCGAACCCAGTACCGTTAACTTCAAACGCCATTGCGTTATCCATTTAGCTACTGAGTCCTGATAGCCACTATCCACCTTTGCTTAGAATGCTTGTGAAATAAGGTAATATCGAAGTGATTCGCACAATATCCTAATAAAAGATAGATCAAATTCCGTCCTAACCATCAATGGGAACATTCAAGTAAATAATTCCAAGAGCCTTAAATTAACTTGGTGTTGTTTTACTTGTATTTATCCATTGTTATTTAGGACTACAATTGATCAGTCTCATGTTGGCATATGTGCAAACTGTGCATCCAAGAAGATATTCTGTCATTCGTATTCTTTCTTTTCCACTATGGTTATTATTTTAGTTATCTGGCATTTTATTGCATGAAGTTTGATGTGATGGGAAGAAAAGTCAAAATTAGATTGATTTAATCATTATGATTTTTCACTGGTTGAAATCATGAGTCAATTGAAGCTAGACCACCATGGAAAACCTGGAAGCACTGGACGACCGTTTCGTCTTTTGTTCAACATTAATTCCGTTTTAATTCAATGTGATGATTATTCAGTGTAGTTATTGTTTCTGTTTCCTAGAGTGATATTTTATTCTGTATAACATACGATAAGTTAACATGAACTATACTCATCAGCATATTTTTTGTTATAACCCTAAGTATTTTTCATATATGTGATTTCATTTTAATTATTAATCAAAAATGGGTGTATGATACAATATAAATGAATGTATTTCCGACTAGACTTGTCGTCATGGTTGTTCATGATTTTGGCTGCTTGTGGAATATATTTCCCTTTACCGAATCAAGACTTCTCTCCCTAGTTAACTGGGCCAGGATGCATCGGAATAGCTAGCTTATTTGTTATTGTGTCACAGAGTCTTCGTTCCATTCTCAGGTGAACTCGTAATTTCTTCAAACATAGCAAATTTATGAATAAAGAAATTAGTCCGATAATATGATATGCGATTTGCTAAAACGAAGCAATAACATTGAAAAAGAGTTTAAATTTTAAGAATTGAGCTAATTTTTAACTCCGATAACCAGTTCTAAATACCAAATGAAGTCATTTAATATTTCTATCATCAATGTTTTGTTTACTCACCTTAAAGCAGCTGCAAATATAACTGATAGAAATATTCCACGAACAAGTAGCACACCATCGAATAAAATCATTACTATGTAGGGTAATATTTGATCATAACGTTTAATAGATCCATTTAACACTGGATCACAACCAGCAAAATAAGCATAAATAGCTAAGCCAGTGAATAATTGTACTGCCAAAAATACACTTGTCAATGGAATATTTAGTAATATAGCTCTGTGAAGCGAGAAATATATATAGGGAGAAATATCAAATGAAAAGATGATTCACGGTTTTTCCTCGTTAGATGAATAAAATAAATTCAAAGTAATGACGTTTTATTGATAAAATGTTGACCTGTTAAAACAATACATATGTGAGCTGTTACAATTAGGAACAGTGAAAGATCCTTGATTGTGTTTATGATATTTGATGAATTATTTATTATGTGACAGTTGAAATAATAAGTCACCTGATAAATTTGAATAGTACAATGAGAAAGACTAGATTATCAGAACTGTATGAAAGATTAGGTGGGAGTAACTATGACTCTCTTAAGGTATCCAAATGCCTCGTCATCTATCGGCACCTTATGAGATTGTAGTTGCATGACGACTACCTCCTCGTGATTCCCGCCAGTAACGTAGTGTCTATTTGATGCTACGGTTAAAATGTCGTCGAAACTTTCGAGTCTCCAGCTGGGCTGTTGTGCGCTGATAAATGTACTTGGCATAGCAATATGTAGCGGGTACAAACGGCCACATCTGACTTCTACTCATCTTGCATTGGTCCGTAAGGGCCGGTGTGGTGGTGAGGCCTAGCCTGGGTTGGCGCCTGACGTCGACCTGGGTCGGTGGAGTCATCCACCTGGTAACATGTGCGCTCTAGCGGAACCTACCGTGTCCAGAACTGATTCTTTGACTTTATATGGGCCGTAGAGAGACCCGATCACCCGGTAAAAACAGCAAGGACTAGAAAGCTGGCAGCCATTGCTGCTGGTTAGTACGTGGCTTCGGTAGCTCGGTCACCCGGATGGGACTACCGAGACTGGTCGGTTAAAGTCCGCCTTGCTGCCGTTGACGATGGGGGGTAGTGGCGTGGATGGTTGGGATTGAGTTGATTCGTAAGGTGCCCATCTGGAGGTGCCTCAACATGAGGTCACAGACAGGATGTCCGGTGATCAAGCAGAACAAACCAAGTCAACTTGTATGTCCCGAAAGGGGAGTGGAAGTGCAGGTGGCACCTGTGCAACCTCTAGTGTCGTGTGACCGATACACATGCATGAGCAACTTGAATAACTGGTTAACAATATCTAGATTAGCGTAATACATTTCAAATACTTTTATTCATATATAGAATTGTTAAGATATTTGTATGTGGAAAACTAAAGGTCAATTAAACAAATTAGAAGAAAACAAAAATAATAAAGTAACCAATAAGGAAAACGTTACTCTGAATGATAAATCACTATCACAAACAGCTTTTGAACATTTAAAGGACTTGATTTTTTGTACGACCAATGCTTTAATAAACCTTAATAAACACCCTTGAACACTTATGCAAAACTACAAAGATAAATTTGATATCAACCATATGCATTATCTCAATTAAATGTTTTACAATGAACACGTTTGTTTATACTGTGCTCTTACTTTGACCATTGATAAATAATTCAATCATTTTTTGGAATGCCAAATCACCAAATATAACACTTAGGATGAAATCAATTTTTAAATTTATATAATGATTTCAAGTGAATTCTTTTCGCTGACTTTCAGCCCATTGCCACATATATGCATTCATTCTGCATGATGTTAGTTTACTGAGGTGGAACGCGCTTCAATGTATCGATTTTTTCTCATTATTATGGAAACATTGATTAGTTTGATAGACAAATTTTTAATTTTCCAAATGAGAGAGAGAAGGTACTAATCAAAGGATGATTTGCAGTGATATAACAATGTCAATCAAAAATCTTGGAGTGATAGCCAATTCAAATTCATTCACACTTCCATTAGTGTTTTTCAATTTCAAGTTTGATATCATCAACTGTAACTTCACAATATTTAGCCGACTCTATAATACCAGCCTCTAGATCAACCCCCAGAAGCTACCTATCAAAAATTATTACAAGAACCAGTGACATCATTTGTTACAGCACAAAAGCACTTTACTTGCTCTCGTTGTTATGACTCCAATCGTGTGACAAGTGCGGAGTTTAAAGAGAAAGGGGATAGAAATAGACTGGATAGAAAACATCATTTTTATGAAAACTGGAGAATGTACGAAATAGGACGATAGTGCATTGTTGTTACCGATTTCGTCACAAAAGGATTTTAATCTATTTCATGGAGATGTAATACAATACCCAAGAATTAGGTCTAACAAATCAAGTTTCAATTGACTGTACAATGAATGACCTATAAACCGATTTCCTCTAATACCCTAACTCATTTTATGTTTATTCTGTGTTAAGATTTTATATATAACCACGACACTATGACATTCATAACCTATTCACTAAATGGCTTGGAAGTTGAGGTCTCATTGATCATCGAAACAACATCATCAGCACAAACTTCAGGTAGAAGTAAAGTGTTAGGATTTCTCCGCACATGATCTACAGCTTATCCAGTAGACCTCGATCTTGACTAGTTATTGCTGATCTTTAACTCGTCTCTATCTATTTCTTTATTTTGATTGTATCTCCCTTTGATTTCATTTCTGGTTCTATATTTTTCCTGCTCAGATATTCTCCATTCCACCCAGCTCAGTCACTTTGATCATATATATTATTCACCATATCGTTTGATCCATAAAGACGAAAAAATTATAATTGAACGCTTCTACGAAGCAGTGACTTAATGATTGAAGGATTAAATTTGCAGCAAAGAAGTCACAGCTTTAAACAAAACCCTACCTGTTTAATTTTATTTAATCAGATGATTAGTATTACCAGCGGTCAGACAAGAAATGTAACTCAATTATAAGTACATAAAACAGTACTGTGTAAATGACTAACTATTTTCCAGTCAAAATTACAGATTGTGAAATCCACGACACAAAACATAAATCACTATTGCATATTCATGCAAATATATGCAGATTTATGTTTATTTTAATTATTTATCCATTGGCATTCTTTCCTATCATGTACTCATAAACCACATATTCTGCATATTTTCCAAATTTATGCTGACTGTTTATTATGATACAAGATCTTACTTTCTTGTGCCTATAAGCCCTCATGGAGGAGCATAGGCCGCCCATCAGCAATCTCCATCCAACTCTGTCCTGGGTAATTCTTAAAATTTATTTCCAGTTGTTATTCATCCTTTTCATATCTGTTTCCAATTTCCGAATCAGTGTGTTCTTTGGTCTTCCTCTTTTCCGTTTCCATTCAAAATTTCAAGTTAGCGCTTGCCTCGTGATGCAGTTTGACGATTTCTGCAACGTATTTTCTATCCACCCACAATTTATTTTTCTAATTTCCTCTTCAAGTGAAAGCTGGTTTGTTCTCTCCAATAGTAGACTGTTGTTGATATCACATCAACGAACATTGCATAGATAATTGTTTATAAATACTTGTACCTTCTTGATGATGGTTGTGGTAGTTCTTCAAGGCTCAGCTCCGTACAGTAGAACTGTCCTGACGTTTGTATTGAAGATTCTCACTTTGACATTGGTTGACAGTTGTTTTGAGTTCCATATGTTCTCCAATTGTAGGAATGCGGTAATTGCTTTGCCAATCCTCACTTTTACGTCTGCATCAGATTCCCCACGTTCATCGATGACATTTCCAAGGTACATGAAGGATTCCATCTCTTCCAGAGTTTCCCCATCAAGTGTAATTTGGTTGGTGCTAACAGTGTTGTATTTGAGGATGTTTTTTCCCTTGTGCATGTTGAAGCCTACTGATGCAGAGGCTGTTATTACATCGTCTGTTTTTCCCTGACCGTACTGCTATGTATGGGATAGAAGAGCTAGGTTGTCTGCGAATTCAAAATTGTGTCTGTTGAAAGGTCTGTGTGTGCCGCTTCGATATCCGTTGGATTAAATGGAGCTGACATATTCAAGAGTTCCTGAGTGTGTTCTGCCCACCTGTTCCACTGTTCTTGAATCTTAGTGAGTGACTTGCCCTCTTTCTCCTTGACCGGCCTCTTTTGTTTATTATATTTTTGTACCAGTTTCTTCGTTGTGCCATATAGTTGTTTCATATTTCCTACTCCTGCAGATTTTTTCGCTCTCGTTGCTAGGTCTTCCGTGTATTACTACTTGTTGGCTTTAATGATCCTCTTCACTTGCTTGTTAGCTTTTGTGTATTCAGCTTGTGCCTTGACTTCCTCTGTTGTTGTCCGGCTATTGTTAATTGTTGTTTTCTTGTTCTTCTTTTCTTTAATCTTGTTCCGGGTTTCGATGAAGATCCCTTCCTTATGATGCTGCTTCTTGCGGCCCAGAACCTTCTTATATGTTGAGGTTAGTGCTTCCTTTCTGCTTCTTTGAGCAGACCTCGTAAGGCTTGGAACCTGTTGTTGTGAGCTATCTTGAATTCACTGAATTTCTCAGTATCTCGAAGAAAGGCCGTATTAAACCTTTTTACTGCTGTTTGTCCTATTATGCACTGGTTCTTTAGCTTCATTTTCATCTTGGCAAACATCAGATGGTGATCTGAAGCTGTGTCAGCTCCTCTCCTGGTTCACATGTCCTTGATTGACATTCTGAAGTTTCTAGTGATGCAAATATGATCTATCTATTTCTCCGTGTATGCGTTCGTGGGTGAAAATTGTGCTGCCTGTATCAATTTTATTGAATGCACATAAATTTGCGAATCTGTCACCATTCTCGTTTTTTCTCCCAGTCCATGTTGTCCTATGACATCTTCATACCAGGTAATATCTGTTTTGACTTTGGAATATAGGTATCGCATGAGGATGGGCATGTGTTTTCCTGAGCACTTCGTTACGATTGATTGTAGCATCTCGTAAAACTGATATATATCGTTTTTTTCAGAATGATTGTTTTCCATGGAACGGGGTTTCCGACTCCATGCCCAACCCTCCTCTTTTACCCAAGCTTGTATCCGGCAGTAACTCTAGAAGAGTTACAGGCGAAGTTATTATGAAATTTCTACTTTATAAGTATTTCTGTATTATATTCAGAGATTGATTATTTGTATAAAGCTTTGTAACAATGTCTAATTCTTCTTAGGATAATGAAAGCGCTCTTTCAAACAACTGTTTTCTATCTCAGTTGTTCAGCGTGAGTCTAGAAGCAAATGCCTAAGATCATATTCACTATACTTATACTCCACATATCGATACCAACCATATGGTCATCCTTCCACCTTGTATCATAGTTAGTTAGAACAAAACAATACAATATACCCTTTATCGATATGATTCCCAAAAAATCTTTAGTTACAAAGATCTCTCGGTGCAAGCTGATTGTATTCTTATTCAAATTACTTTGTTAGTCATTAAAAAATTATTCCACGCTACACGACAACGAATAATAAACTCCTATCTATATATTGCTTGAGATCTACGAAAAAAGTACTCATAATTCTCCTTCATGCGTACAGTGGACTAGTTTCGTCAGCTCACTAATCAGTCAAGTATTCCAACACAGACCCTAACGCCATACACAATAGGGAATATTGATGAACACTACAAAGCTGAGCACGACCGAGAAAATAACGTACCTTCGAGCAGTTTTTAAATCTCGACATGCCATATAACGTTGAATTTGTGTTTGATTAGCACCGAATATACTAAGAACCAATCCCGTTCCACCAATAATTAAAGTCCATAATGTATGTCGTTTAAAAGGATCAATACTAAAACTAGAATAATATATGAATAATTAAGCACTTGGAAAGAAAATTTTAAAGAATGGGACTTTTTATCAAAGTAGTATATAGATGCATGTTGGTTAATCACAAAATAATTTTGATATGAATCTACTCAACATCCATTACAGATTAACTGAAAAAAAGGTACTAAATAATCAAGCAAAGTCAAATACTCTTAAGAGTATGTATTACAAAGTATGAGGAAACCAAGTAACCTGACTCCCTCAAAATTCGATAATGGTCAATCAACAGACTATGCTTTTCACTAAAATGAATTATCCATAATCAATGTGTAGGAACTTATTGAAGATAACCGTTAGATAAATGTACCAAAAAAATGCAAGTCAAACAACAAATACTTAAAATTTAGAAGTAGTAAAACATGGAATATACAAAGTAAATCCGTTTTCAATCTACCAAGTTTAAAACAATTAAATCATCTTCATTTCACACAATATCTCATTGTTAAATATTCGGTAGGAATACAGCTTACGTTGATCCAAGCATAGGAAACCACACTTAAATGGGAAATACCTTCTCAAGTATTGGTTTCTTCATGGTTTCTACTTCATCTTGAACAAGTTAGCAATAATTTCAACGGAATTTCTAACCTATATTATTGTTAATCAGTAAAAATAGATTTAAAGAATAAGGAGAATTCTATCTTACAATCGACTATAACAATGATGTCGGTAGATTGACGACATAATCCAAAATAGAGTATCAGGTAATTGTAATTATCAAAGTAAATATTTACAGTAGGTCTCAATATACACAAAGGGAAAAGCAAGATTCTCCGATACAACACAGCATGCACCAATCCAATCACAATTGACGGAGAAGATTTGGAGTATGTAGAAACCTTTGCATATTTGGGCAGCATCATTGATGAACATGGAGGATCTGATACAGATGTGAAGGCGCAGATCGGTAAAGCAAGAGCATTCTATTTACAACTGAAGGAAAGCTGGAACTCAAAACAACTGTCAACCAACACCAAGGTCAGGATTTTCAATATAAATGTTAAGACAGTTCTACTGTATGGGGCGGAAACCTAAAAAACTATGAAAGCCATCATCCAGAAGATACAAGTGTGTATTAGCAGTTTTCTAGGCAAAATACTTCGGATTCGTTGGCCGAACACTATTAGCAACAATCTACTTTTGGAGAGAACAAACCAGATCCCAGCGGTGGAAAAAACCAGGAAGTGGATAGGACACACGTTGAGGAAAGTACCCAACTGTGTCACAAGACAGACATGAGAAAATTAACAAGAATTGGATGGAACTAGGAAAGAAGGCCCAGGACAGAGTGGGTTGGAGAATGCTGGTCCGCGGCCTATGCTAATTAAGAGTAACAGGCGTAAGTAAATATTTACAGACAAAACTGTTACAAAGTGTATTATGTATAGAGAATGAACTGGTAATTGAATGAACGGAAATCGACGGTACAAATCATTGGTCAATGGTTTATTCAAACTAATATATCAACTTCATTGAAGAGAAATGATGCAATCACTTTCATGCTTTGAAAAATATGTAAAGATTATATTCTAATTTCAGTATCTACAGGTTTATTCCAAGCCTACTGAGTATATATATATATATATAATAACTGAAGCGAAAACTATGGACTAACTATGAAAACAGCTCGATTATATTATTGACGAGAATGATATACAAGCTCAAATTTACATGTAAAACAAATTACAAATAAAACGTGATACGTGTCAGCTCTGGCTATACGATTCGAAAACTAGACGCGATAACGCGAAACACCTACAACATAATCGAACACTATCTCCCTAACAACTGTGTTTAGTTCAGTTATCAACAATTCAAAAGGCACAAAATTCTGAGAAACGTTTTATGCAACCTATAACAATGATGCTGCGATTTGACTTGTCATGAGTTTGTATAGAGAAATTTGAGATGTTCTTGAAAATCACCTAAAAAGAATGAGTTTTGAAACACTATAAATGGAAAAAAGACCTATAAAATCAAGTGAAACTGAGTCGATTTGTTCGATTTTCTTGCATATATCAATTATTTTATAATCGGTGAAAACAAGACGAATGAAAGTTAAGGAATTCTTCGGATCAATATAAAACATTTATTGGGAAAAACTGTAAATTATCTTAAGACATAAATAATACATTAACGGTTACAGTCCAGATATATAAAAATGTCATTATCGGTGTTATCGGGACATAGATTAGATTAAAGCATGCTCAATGTACGATTACTTAGAGAACACTCTAGAAATCTTCTCACGTAGAAACTATAAATATACTAACGTTTTTCCTGCTGTGCTTCTTACTTCCATCTGACCTTGTTATTTGGAATATAATCTCTTTCCTGTTCAACCGTGTTCTGATTTGGTGACTTGTCGATTGAATTGGTGTCTGAGAATACTAAGCAATAGGAATAGCTAGGTTGTAATAAGAGAGAATTATAACAATCGGCCGTTTACACCGATCGTTAAACTTTAGTTCTTATACCATGGACCAACTTTTTCTAGACAACACTATAAAACTAGATAACATTGAACAGCTGGATCGTCCTAGTATAGAGCCACTCAGCAGTGGACATAGACGACCTTAGCAGGGACACTAAGACGAAATAGCTGTTCAATCTTCCTGTTTTTTGATAGCTATCTAAAGAAAGTCAGTCAGTGATGTGAAACTCTAAATGTAAAAACTCACTTAAACTTATCACATAACGCTCTTACTCGAAAGATTGAACACGCTGACCGTCTATTACTATCCCCCATAGACGTTGGAATCCACCAACTTTTAAAGTAATTAATAGTGTGATTAAACAAAATCCACTGATGAGAACAATCAATTGGAAAAGATCAACCCATACTACTGCACGAATACCTCCCTTAAGAAATTTTAAACAGGCAAAAAAAAAAGAAAACGTGGCTGTTATAAATTTTTACAATTTGTACTGTTAATAGTGTAACAGGAAATAATCATTAACAAATTGTGAAGCAGATCGAAAAAAGAAAACTCATAATAAATGTAAGATTTTGATGGATTATTTCGGAGAAAATTCCATTTCTGTCAACTTCTGATTAGACTGATTCATATTTGACAGATTACTATAAATTCATATATTTCACTCATATCATTAATTATAATGTAATAGTGACACCGAAAAAAACAGTCCTCCAGTGTACATATCTAGTTGTCACCTGTGATCATGTTACCATGGTATCTCGTATTGGCTTTCAGCGCAATTCAAAAGAATATGTCACCTCTAATTCGAAAAAATAGGCCAGCAAAAAGAAACGAAAGCTCTTTTGAAAAAAAAACGAAATCAGCAACTAAATGAATAGGAATTTCGATATTTGAAGGAGGAGGGAACGAGACTTTAAGTAGTTCTGATGTGTCGCTCAGTAAGATAAGCTTATCCAAGGAATTAACCAAAGATAAATACAGTCAGAAACAATTCAGTATAAAACACTTGTCCAATAATATTCAGATTTCAAGTCTGTATACAGAGAGAATGTGAGTTATTTATTGTGTAATATGTTCAACGTGAGACATGTGGAGGTGTCTGTATGAATGCGCGTGTTATTAAAATTTAGAGAATAAATGAAGTCTGAGAATAAATTGAACATCAGTCGGCGAGATTATTACAAATATAATTTTACTTCCACAAATTTCTATTAAGCTGTTTGCTTTAATGTTCATTAACTTCTACACATCTAATGGGTCAACTTAAAAACTTTTTCAACAACTAACAAATGTATATAGATGAATTATGTAATGTTAAATGGGTATTTTCCACCGATTTTTGATCTTTACAGCAATTTTCATTTTCAATCCTTCTCTGCATCCTGCTTTTATATATTTTTATTCCAAGCAAAATAAATTTAAATCAACGAGCGAGATGAAAAGTCTCCATTTCTTATGTTTTGTAATACAAGGTGAATATAATTGAATGCTTCCGTTCACACTAAAGAGATAACTTAACTTACTCTTCAAGTGCAAGTATTCATATACATATAATTGAGGCACACTTGAGGCGTGATGACTAGTCATTTAGTCATAAGCAACGTATAACCTGGTACACATGTGCACCGTTTCAATTTGCCACATAAAATCAGCACGGTGAAATGAAATCATTAAAACCAATGTCATAGAAGTAGTAATCGTATCAGCGGTAATGGAAAACATTAGGTATAGACAAGATAATCCGAGAATGAGTTCACGGAATAAAAAAAGAAGATAGTATTTAATCCACAGATCTAAAGGAAGGTGAAGAACGGCTGCATCTAAACCATTGAGACAAATTATCTACTGTGACCTAACTTGTTCTAGCATTGGTTACAGTAATCTCTTAGGTCATAACGGATGTTGACATTACTCATTTGCTTAAATCTAAACGGATAAAGCAAAGCCCGAATATGTAATTCATTGTTTATATTATGTCCCAATAAGAATAATGAGTAGTAATTTTTGGAATCCCATCCCCGTCGTCAATTGTTATAACTTGTGACCTGTGTGCTCTGTTAATGTATAACCTAATGATACCACCAATTGGAGAGCAGCGAATTATCGATCAAACTAGTGACGCATAAAACACGTACGAGCAGTCTAGAGTCCTTATTGGTCCTACTTTCCGCCTAGCCCAGTTAGTTAAGTCCAGAACAACAATATCAACGTACGGGGTTAGTATACCAATCAAACAGACCACATCGTACCATAAAATGTGAAACAACGTTGATACAAGATTTGGTCAAATGTGGCTGTGAATGTGGGAGATAATGATTGATAGACAGGGAATAATTCAAGAATGGTACGTCGTATAATAACAGTTCATAGGTAAAAATAAAGTTTATGATAAGAGAGACATGAATAAGGATGATTCAGATATTTAACAATTATACGATAAAAATATACGCATAGTATTGGTTCATAAATGGATCCCAAAAATTACCAATCATTATTGTTATCGGGACATAACAGATTAACCACTAATTCGCCACCAGATAGATGTTACACATGGACTAATCCAAAAACATTTTCTGAGAATTCAAGTATTCCTTTACTTACAAAACATTTATTATTTAACCTAATTACCAGATATATCAACATATGATGAGTTGATCAATTTGAAACCAATGATGAAGTTATTATTATCATTATTATGATTAATCTAACTTACAAATGCTGTATAAAATGTAGCCACCAAACCAGTAGACAATATCGATATCCAAATGGGTAGACCACTAACTTCAAATCAATACAAATGACAAAAGTAATTGATCAGTATAGAAAAGATTAAAAAAACATAACAGAATTAAATTTATTATTGAATTAATTAAACAAATGAGTTGAACATTTTCTAATGAACATGAACATGATCTAAATTTCACGTGACCTATGCAAAAATGTTATTTTGTAGTGTATATACATATATAGAGACTAATTTGACGAGAAATGGTCACAGTTCCAAGGAACAATAACCAATCGAAGCATGTGTGTATGAATAAAAATAATAAATACTGATAATAATCAATCTCTCAGATCATTTTTTCCAAGTTAACAAAACAATAACTCACCTTGACTGAATGCCAAAGCAGGCGCATATAATGCAAGAGCAATGTAAACTGTCTACAAGTGTTAATTTGAATAAAGGTAATGAAACAAAATGAAAAGCACATTAAATAAATATGCAAATAGATAAAAAATGATTAATTTAAAGAGTAAATAATGGAGACTGATCATTAGTAAAACAGGATTAACTGATGGAATACGAAAAAATGGTACATGGTAATTTTAAATCATTCTGAATAATAGGAATATTGCAGCATAATTGATAAATAATAAAGGTTAAATAATTTGACATTGGTTACTATTATGTGAGCAACTAGTATGTGACTATATCAATCCTATGAGACATACAATTTCATCACACCAGGTGGATCGGATTAGAAAAGTAAGGTCACTTGAAAAGTGTCGCTAAATTTAATCGTACAAATAACAAAACAAATGTCACTAACTTCACAAGAATGAACGGAAACGATGGATTGTGCAAAGATTTTAAGATCCTAATTTTAGATATGCACTGCCGAGAAGTCTCAAACTAATACGACAAAGTTATTCGATGTTCGTCGATATTCGAGTTAGTATATGATGAAATCTACCTTCGAGTCAAATAATTTCCACATATCTCGTATTTCAACAAAGTTTATAAACCAAGGAATGATAGGTATGAACTAAGATAAATCTCACTCGACGGTACTTTTTTTCAAGTAATCAACTTATACTCCAGTTTTCTGCTTATTGAAGAACAACTGATAATGTTCACCTAAAACCCCTAATTTCTCAGTTCTTATTTAAATGATACTATTTTAAAATAATTGTTTGTGTAACCATAAGGCTCGACGGATGATTTCCGTAAAATAATTGACGTACCATTTGTAATAAGAACACAAGTGAAGCTGTCCATCGAACAAGTTTTCCAAATCGCATTTCTAAATACTATTTAATAAAATTTAAGCGAAATACAAACACAATACAAATTGTTTACAGATCATTCATCAATGAATTATATATAAAAACGTTGTTAAATAACATAAACACTTTAAGGAATAGTAGCTCATGAAAAATGTTATTGTGATTTTGACAAAGCCAACAGAAGCACAGATGAATAGGCTTATATTTTTCGACTTTTGAGAATTCATTTGTGCACAGCATCTACTATGAGCTAAAACTAGAAAAATTTTAATGTAAGACTAGAAACTAAGTAAGTACTTAACATTTATGACGAATATCTGTTACAAATCAGAACACTAATAAACAATATATGTAAGTTTAGTTATTAATATTCTACTTTAGTAAGAAAGTAACCTACTTGAATTAAGATTTTCAAATATCCAAGTATGCAATAACAAGATCTTTCAAACTGCTCAACGACTAATATAGTGCTTTGCAATAAAAAATGAATAGAACCGGAGGAATAACAAGTATTCCCACTTCATTAGTGGTGTAAGTATCTAAATATTAAACTGTAATCTACAGCTGAAGTAAGTGCGTGATAAATAGCAGAGTGGGGTGTAAATTAAACAGTATCCAGATGATTTTGTATTTTATGAGTAGATCGGTGACTGTAGTAGTTGAATTACACCGCCTCGAATACTTTGATTTTGACAATCGTTCAGTGCCACTTCATTTTTATACAAACAATTTGCTTGAGTATATAAATCCGTGCGTAACATATGAGTTGCGTAGAATTATTACTTTAATTTTCCGACCACATTTACTTCTATGATCATCCATTTGTTTGCAACAAATGTGACTGAGGTTATATAACTCGTATTTCTCCCATGATCTATGTAAATTCATGTTATAAATAATAAGCCATCGAAAGAAGTTTAAGAGTTAATTTAAGATTTAGGGTAATACGATTACATTAAAACACAATTGTATGAACGAAGAATATTCTTTTCAATAATTTCTCATCAGGTTCTACAATTATAAATCCAGATTAATAATCCATAAAATTGGCCAGATTTAAGGCAAAATACATCATCATTTGGAAATTGTAATATGTGAATCAGGAATTGTTTGTTATATAAAATAAAATCGTTAATGTTGGGGCTGACTAATATGAAGTGTTAACTTGAATCAGTTTATAAGTGAAATAAAATTGTGAGATAAATTATCAGAATAAATATGGTCAACATGGGCTAAGAGAGCGAGAGAGAATATTGTGATTACAAATCGGAAATTACGTAATATGTAAAATAAATAGGTCAAATATAGTAAATTCAGGGGTGGATATTGAATAAATTCATCAAAAAGGGTTATCAAGTGTAAAGACAATAATAATAATAATAATAATAATAACAGTAATAATAATAATAATAATAATAAGTTTGGGACATATAATGAACATTAATCAGATTAGGTCACCACATTATAAGATTGATTATTAGCTAGATGGCCAGGGTAAAAGGAGTGGCTGAACATACTTCTTTTGGATACAAAGCTCTGACTTTTTGATCCGAATAGCAGACGGCTGAAGCAACTTCATTTCGCTTATAAACTGATTCAAGTTAACACTTCATATTAGTCAGCCCCAACATTAACGATTTTATTTTATATAACAAACAATTCCTGATTCACATATTGCAATTTCCAAATGATGTACCGTGCCTTAAATCTGGCCAATTTTATGGATTATTAATCTGGATTTATAATTGTAGAACCCGATGAGAAATTATTGAAAAGAATATTCTTCGTTCATACAATTGTGTTTTAATACGATCACCAATACAACAGACAATGAAATATACATATCAAGATTAATCAACTAACTTCATGAGCACTGTTCAATCTGAGCTTATAAAATACTGGCATGTAAACATATGCAGCTAATGGAAATGCAATACAATAACCTCCAACCAATGTTATAAATTGAATACCACATTGATAAGCTTCAGATGCAGTGCCCAATATACCGACAGCTGATAAAAAACTGGCCATTACACTTCCGACAATAGGTAACAAGGTCAGATTACGATCACCTAAGAATAATTCTTCTACGTCCATTTTCTTTCTCACTTTTGGTTGAAAGTTGATACCACGAAAACAATTAGTCAATTTCCCAAAAATTACATCATGATATCGATGATAAATCCCAATCAGCGAGTAACAAACAAGTGAAATACCGAAAACCAAATAATCTGACCAATGGAAAGTTGGCAACATTTTGTATTACAGTTGACTAGAAAACATTTAAAGGTTAACAAAGTGAATATCGAGTTAAATATCACTTTAAAATACGTTTTCGTTAAGAATTTTAAAAAAAAACAAGATATTTATGACTCAACCATTTCACAAACAACTCTAAAGTCAGAAAATGTTGAAGCAAAACTAAGTGTGGTTATATTTTCATATTTACGTTGTTTTTTAACTCTTCAGCAAGCATCCTTAAAAATGATCCGATAAACGTGCGATAGCTACACTTCAATCACTTAGACTACAATGTTCCATTTTTTAATATACAGTAATTTTATCTTTTCACATTTTTGTTGTGCAGGTTTTTACAACTACGTAGACTTTAACGTTATAAAAGTACCAAAATCAAAAAAGTGACCTCTCAACCTGCAAAACTACATTGAATATCTATTCGATCCATTTCTTTATCGAATGAGCAGCAGTTTGGGGAAGTTGAATTATTCATTATTTTTAATAGTTTAGTGAAACTAACTATATTAGTTAACTAAGCAGGAGGTTTTCGGAAGTTTGAGAAACTCCAATTGTCTAGACTTTATTATTGGATTTAACCTACAGGTATGTTGTTGGTGTTACCGTTACTGGGTATTGAAACAATCCTGTTTGAGTGAACGTGTAGAGGATCAAATTAAAGAGAAATGTGACTAAAATACCCAGTGATCAAACGATAATCAGCTAAAATAACTGGGAAACAATTTGAAACGGTTAGTATCGCAAAACCATTACTCAAGAAAATTTAGTGGGCAAAAGTATAAGTCGAAAATAGTTTCTCTATGTCTTAAGGGTGACCAAAGATATTGAGAAGCGTTAACAACAAGCAGACTATGTATTTGTGTAGATGAATTATACACAAGCAACCATTCAGTTTAGACTGCACTTCGTATCTGCAAATCGATAACATAAATGCTACAGATTAGTCGAGGCAAATTTATGTAGAACGCAGTATAAGATAAAATTGACCAAAAAAGTAAAATCTTCAAAGTCGTGATCAGAAAGTTAAAAACAATTATATAAACTTCTTTAAAAGCTATAAAAATAACGACAAAAGACAGGTCCGATCTTTAGTTTTCACTTAATAGATAAACCAGGTTAATGGAAGAACTGGTTAAGATTACTATGATCTCAGGGTTTTGAACTTATTCAATAACTGACAGTCGGATGCATTTCGTGTTACGAGTTGGCATTTCAAGAAATCCGGACAAATTCATGATAGCTGGATTTGATATTTTTATAAGAAACTTTGAAAAAAATATGCTAAGCTTATCAATCGACTGGTATAAGTCATATCTGTTCATAACTAACTCTGAATGCAAAGTGACTGAAAACTCAAGTACTTCACCCAGATAGACAGATAAATTAACTTCTAAAGACTTTACTACCCTTTCAGTAACAAAGAAGTCTTGGTAGACAGAGTAGGTAATAATATCCCATTAAAAATAATAATATTGCTCCAAGTAAGTAGATTTTATAAATCAAAGTCATCATTCGATAACAAATACTGAGACCACTTTTACTTCGGCGTTTACGTCACGTGTAATATTTGTCTGACATTTTAAAAACACTTCATACAAATGAAATTTGGAAAAAGATGTGTATGAGTTATAATTACAGAGCAACAAAAGACGACATGATATTTTAAGTTTAATTATTAAAGGTATGAGTCCTATATTCCCGTTCACGAACAAAGTTACGACGAAATACTCCCCACTGATTGGAAAAACGAGGTTAATATTAGAATATGACATCAGCGAACATTATCCGGATAGTGGATACATTATAACGAATAAGTCCCAAAACTTTCGCGATCATTACTCGAAGTTAGGACCATAGTGCGAAAATAGAGAGCACAAGTACAGTTAAAATTTTAGGGCTGTTAAACTTTGAACTAATACAACCAGATCTGAGGTACTGATGTAATCGAAAGATGGTTTCAACGACATCCTATATCTTTACTCAGAAGTAAACAACTTGAGTTAATAACACAGTCGTTACATCCGCCCATTCAGTTTTCAGAAATTAGTATAACATGCTGGTCATTCAATCCAATGTTTCTCTGGGAATCTGATTAAAAATCCGATAACCACTTAAAATCGTCACAGAAAAGATGTAATTTTGGTAGATATGTTAGGATGTCAGTCACGAGATTAATTTTATCGCGAAAAGCTGTGGTTTGACCATGATCCTAAACTACCTGGTCTACTTGGAAATCAGTTCCTCGGAAAGAAAAATAAAAAACTAGGAACTAAGCACATGTAAAGTGTAATCATAAATTGTTAACTGAGATTATTACCAGACAAAGTGAACTTAGGCTAAACTACGCACGATTTATTGATTAAAGCAACTGATCGACATTTTGAGGCTTTTTTAGACAAAAAATGCACTTATGATTCTATAACCAAGTTATCTACCAACATAGGATAGGTTAATTATATATTGTTAGAAACACAACAACGACGCAGTTGTCGCTGTAAATAGACTTCCATAGTTATTTTCACTTTATTTGGCACCATTGTAATAGGGTTTGATGATATATTATCTTATGGAAAGTATATAAGAAGGATTTGTCCAACGTTCACGCTCCTACCGTTTTTACTATCAATCATGATCAGGAAAAAAGAATGTGAGCTTAGATGTCACCGACTACCTCATTCTGCGTTGATCCTGAGGTTGCAGTATGATGTTACATTCTATATTGTTTTACATCACAGACAAGTTTGACATTACGGGATACTTTACAAACACAAAAGTTATTTCACCAACATAGACAGTTATATATGATAATCAAAAACAAGTAGTTCAAAATATTGCAAATGAGATGCTTCAATTAGGTAAATACAATGAGGACTTGGTGAAATTAAAGAGAAACACGTACACTGAACCGAGCGACAACAGACAAAATACAACTAGAAGTTGCGCTTTCAAGGTTATACAGTTATATCCTTCATGGACTTGGAAAAACAAATTCCTTCGGTTTCATTTGTAACATATAGGAACTTTTCATTTTTATTAATCCAAGTAGTCGTTACCATCGCAACAGTTCAACCTCTCTTTGAATGTATCCGGCACCTGTAACAGTTAAACGTTATGTTTGCCATTCTCGTTCTCTTCATAAAATGTAAGCTGAAAATTCTACGGCCTTCAGTTAAATAATAAAAAGTCGGGTAAGGTACGTCAGTGAAAGAGGCATAAGGTCACTCATGCAAGCCATATAATCAAGCAACCACTTTTACTCTGAACAGTTCAAGAGAAGAAAAACATTCCTGCATAAAACTCGATAAGCCATAGTTACCAAGACAAAACAAAAGAAAAGAAACATTTTCATCAGCCTTCTCATACCAAATGGGGTGGGATATAAAAATTTAATTCGACATCAATCCTTCGCAAATTTTCTGTTCTCTACTCACGTGACAAACTGATTCCCGCCTACAATACATTTCAGCACACGCGCTTCTCATTCTCATTTGTCAGCTGAAGTGAAAACAGGTCTCAAGTGTATTTGCTGCCTGTGTTTATATACCACGTTGTTATCCCTGTTAAGTTTTTGTTCCTGCTATACATTATGTTGTATCATATCCATGTTATTTGAAACTACTGTCTACTTCTTATAACTATGGTTGACGAAGTCAAAATACGAACGGGTATGCATAATATATTGAAGCTTCATTTCTTCAAGTCATCTAGGTAGCGAGTTGGTTTGCACCCTATAAGTGTGTAAGTTCTATTAGTCATAACTATTATGAATAATTAGTCAGTGTAATGAAATAATATATTCATGTCCATCATAGGCCGCTGTGGTTTCTTGTCTAAGCTTGTGGTTTAGCATTCAGAAGGGCAGAGGTTCGAGTAAGTACGATGCAGGAGTTTCGTTCACAAAACTCTTGAATACAAAACTCGCTGATTGTAGGTTGCTCAAATATGAGGAAAAACAACAATGAAAGGACAAATTAGCATGCTGAAGTGCCTTAACAAGTCACATTGGAACACCGTGTTAGCTGCTTAAAGTATGATCAGTACAAGTATTTCCTGTTTATATTAATAATAATCATATAGAAAAGTCACATGTGTGGTAACTTTCAGTTATATGACAAAGAAAAAAAATTTTTTTACATAATACTAGCGGTAAGTTCTAGAATTTTGTATGGAGCACTGACAATAATAGGTTTAACGTGAGCGTGGCCGTGAGACTTATATCGTAAACTCAAATTGCTGATTGCCTAATGGATCGCTTATCAAATGAGTGAAATTAGTATAGCCAATATAGTAAAATTATAGGTAATATACCGAGCGATATCTTCAGTTAATTAAATGTTCCTACATTGATTATTTATTTTATTTATCAAAACACATAAATATTTGTACAAAGGTGCACAGAATACATATGCGTTACACAAGTCACTTGAATTTGTGTAGGCTGTGATACTTCTCAGGTGTTCAAACCGAAAAAAATGGCTTCCTTAGGGGGCCACGTTTGGAGCCTTCAACTTAAACGTTTGATCCACAAGGCAGTGGAACGACATCTGGAGATGCAATCAAATGGTAGCTGGTCACCAATAATTGGCAAATACGTCACTTGATCCTTTAGGATCATGAAGCCCATTTTCACCATTGGTTTGGAATTGGGGTTTAACAACTCTCCTAGGTGAACCCTCTATATCCACCAACCCTGTTAAGTCCCCAGATATTCACTTTTCGTCCTCTCAAATTCGCGAACAACAGTAATGCCACGAGAAAGCAGAGTACGGCTTCCCTATCAGTGGTTATATACGCCAGGCCACGCGAGGGCATTTCGTGAGGGAGAGTTAACTCTCTCCGACCTCGGTCATATTAGGGCATTCGGGAGGTCATGAGACCATAAGTTTTAGCCAAGGGGAGTATATCTTCCAATCCATTTTCATGATAATAGTATGAACGTTTGTTCGGTGTTTGCATAACGGCGACTGTGAGAAAACAACAGTATTTTTATAGAGTTATTAGTCAGGTTACTAATTGTTTTACTTCTTGATGTCAGTTTGTCAGTAAAAAGTTGGATCTACAACGCGTCAGTGGGAGCAGTTTTGTTCTATGCTTGTGAAACCTCAACTTTACGAGTTGAGGATGTTTGACTGCTTTCTATGTTTGATCATTGTTGTCCCTGAAGGATTGCTGACATTCAGTGGCAACACCATGTCAGTAATTCAGAGGTTCAGCATCATGTGTTCGGGCGCATAGACGATAATCCAGTTGGTATCACCATCTTGAAATATCGACTTCGGTGGCTTAGATATGTCCTACAAATGTCGTCCTAGAGAATTCCACGTCGTACATTATTTGCCGACTATGGGACTGTTTAAAAAAATCGGAGAGGTGGTCATTGTCAGACGTGGTGTCGTGGTATGAAATGAAGCTGCAAAGTTTAGGCCTATGTTGGTCGTTGACGACTCCAAGGTTCGAGTCTCAGAGATGGTGCTACACAGTGGCTAGAGACGTCATCATACATCGTTCAGAAAGGAAGACAGTGGCGATCCTGTCGTAGACTTACGAGAGCAGGTAATGCGTTTTAAGCGTTGCTCAAGCCCTAACGTTTCAGGCAAGGCTATTTTGTTTACTACCCTACATATGTGTGGTATATTGTATATACTATATTGCTATGTAGAGCTAAAGGTCTCATATGAGACTGGAGGTACACCATTCAAACTGACGATGGTTCAGCATGATTGTTTTGGCAAGTTTTGCCCACTGCTCATACGTAAAGTTGGTTTGCTGGTCAACCGATTTCATTGATACATTTTGCATTTCACTAATTCATTCATCTTACAATGTGTCGTAAGTTGTCAAACAGATATTTGCAAAAGAAATCCCACAGAAAGTGAATGAGCGAAATCGGTTGAGCCGTTCAAAAGTTATGGTCGAGAATGTGTTAAGGAAATTGGCTGTCTCGGGCACTTCTATGGAATTTTGAGGAGCGAACTTTCTATAGGACGTTTCCGAGTCACATTTTCATTCATAACTTTTGAATGAATTAATATTTTTCAATGTGGCGTACTATGTGTTACTTATCCAATTCAGTGCTATTGAATGATGTACAATATGTACACGTACATGGAGATTTGTACTTGACGATTTACACCGGATCTTACTCGCCATGTTATATAGGGATACTACCCCTAACTCTCGGTCTGAAAATTTGGAGAAATTAAGCCTCTTAATTGTTAGCGTTGCTTGCTACGTCTTATATTTTGTTTTGTCCGTTAATATGGTGATTTATCTATCTACTCCTGGTTAATTTTTATTGTGTCACCTACTTCTACGTCGACAATCTTAATGCTGATATAAATAAGAAATAAAACTGAAAATAAACATTTTCTTACATGTTTTAAACACGCAAATGCAATATGATACCTTAGTAGGGCGCAAACCTGTTCGTTCCTGCCGGGTGATTGAAGGCAAGGACTCCATCAACAAGTTTAATAAACGTATTTTATTAATCTACGATGAATATTTCAGAGGGAGGACTGTTCTATAACTATTTATACTTAGCAAGGAAAACGCCTGTCCCAGTTTTCAACCACTGTTTTCAAAGTTTGACCATTAATACATTATCTCTTAGATTGTATATATGTGTGTGAAGAATTTTCATCATACTTCAGAACTACAATGCTGTATTTTGATTAACCTGATGTGATTTCTTAGTAAATAGTTAAACAAATAGATTAGGCCTAAGATTGGATTTGAAGAATTTCATAATTTGTATACGAATTTGAAGTAAAAGCTTGGAATAAGTCAGGCTCTTCTTCACCAAAGGGATTCTAGCACCAATTTATCGGATCGTGCAAAGTAACACTGGTCATAACTCAGTCCTAAAGTCTTGTTTGTGATGGATCTCTACATTCTTTAGAATTTTAATATGTCATTTATACGAAGACCACTAGTTATAAACGGACAATATTCAAGCACTGAGCGGATACAGACTTTACACAGTTTCAGCTTGGACTAACTTTCATGAAAATTACGAATTATACAGCCCATATGTCTACGTCCCTTTGAGCTAATTGACGTGGTTCGTTACGAAAAATCTAGGTCATTCGAGTGTCTTAAGTCTAGGACTAAGATACTATAAAACTGGGATTTCGGCATACTATCAACTCCAAAATATTGACCCAGGTTGCTTCTACTCCAACTACAGTTGTTAATCTTAAGCTGAAGTCGGTACTTTCTACACTATACTGCCAACTTGTTTAGTTCCCGCCATATAAAATTAACAGTGTTATACATCTCATCTTTACTGTGTGAGTAAACTGCCTTTGTGGCAATAGCGAACCGGGAAGTTTTTAATTTGTCGAAGCAGCTACAAGGACTGCTGATGTACATTACAAATAAAAGAGGTCCTAGAACATTTCCCTGTATATATATATATATATATATATATATATATATATATATATATATATATATATATATATATATATATAATGTACTATCGTACACAATCAGTAAACTTCCTGAATCGATATGGCTTACTGTGCACACTCATGAATGTAAAATACTAATCGGATGCATATATCGAGCTCCTAACACTCCTAGTTCAAATGACACTATTATAAGTGAGTCATTTGCTCAAGCTGCCTCGCTTGAATTCACTCACAAAATTGTATGTGGTGATTTCAACCTTCCCACCATCAACTGGACGACAAATTCTGGCCCATTGTTCTTTGAAAGCATACTTAGGTCCTTAGAAATACACGGCTGGCAACAACATGTACACATGCCTACACGAAATCATAACATTCTTGACTTGATATTCTGTCATAATGTCACACCAACATCAATGGTGGTTGGCGAAAAGTTTCACAACTGCGATCATAAAATAGTCCTCTGCACCCTTCCGATTCTTGCCATATGCAACAAATTAAAGACATTTAATACGCGTTTCCAATATAG